AACCACTGAGCCATCTCTTATGTAGCCCAGGACATCACCCTGTGGAACGTCACCCGCTGTTACCTAACAGTTTGCTGGGAGAGGGAGACAAACATCTACTCACCCCAGCCAGGGAACCAATGACAGATCAACATAAGGATACCACCAAAGTCCAACTTGATGGACCAGTGAGTTTTGTTGAGGTTATTTGCAGAAATGACTCAAAGACGGCTACGTCACCAGAAGCCCACCCCAGAGTGTATTGTGTGACAAAGCTTTTCATAGGGAGACAACATACACACCTACTCACCCCAAATAGAGATCCCACAATAGATCAAAGTACGGATACCACCAAAGTCCAGCTTGGTGAACCACTGAGTTTTATTGGGGTTCCTCACAGGACTGTGGGTCAGGGGTTACTTACAGGAGCAGACATGATGACTCAGAGCCAGCTGCATCACCAAGGCCCATCCCGCATAGATGACACCTCACAAAAACTAGCAAACTTGGAGCACATCACACAGCCTGCAGGCTGCTCAACAGGCGGGAGCGAGTCCTTTCCAAGTGACTGTTAGTACATTTGTGTTCTCAGGGTTCGGTATTTAAGAATGTGCTTTTAGGCCAGGCGGTGGTGGCGCACGCCTTTAATCCCAGCACTCAGGAGGCAGAGGCAGGAGGATCTCTGTGAGTTCGAGACCAGCCTGGTCTACAAGAGCTAGTTCCAGGACAGGTTCCAAAGCCACAGAGAAACCCTGTCTCGAAAAACCAAAAAAAAAATGTGCTTTTAGGATTTATAACTTTATAGAGGTATTCACTATGAGTATAATCCAATTTTTCATAAATTTACCAAGTTTGATGTCACCATAATCCAGTTTTGGATGTTTTCATCACACGGGTAACATCTCTTACCCATTTACAGTTAATTTCTATTTCCATTTTTAATCCCAAGTAGCCACGCCTTTTAATTCCCTTTTATGAATTTCACATAGTGAAATACATTTAACTAATGAACAGTCTATGGAGATAATTGTATATGCTACAAAATATATTACATATATAAAAGTGATTTATTCTCTTTCAAGCTTCAGTGTTTCCTGAATTCCAGTTACTAAATATTTCTGGAAAGCCCTGTCCTATGTCTGCTTCCTGTTGCTGTGATTAATACCCAGGAAACAGCATCTTAAGAGAGAAAGGGTTTATTGGTTCGCAGTTCTAGGTTACAGTCCAAGCAACTAGCTGCTTTAGGTCCACTGCTGAGAGCTGAGAAATGCGTTAATGCATGCATTGCACAGCTGGCTTCCTCCTTTTTATTCTGTGTGGAACCCAAGCCCAGGGATGGTGCTGCCCATGGTGGGCAGAGGTAATTACGACATTCTGAGATGTTCTTCTTCCGGGGGTTCTGGATTGTGTCACACCAATGATTCAAAGTAATCACCACAAAGCAAGAAGGTCATTAATAAAGAAATCTCTAAAATTAGAGGCCAACCTGGTCACAAAGTGAGTTTCAGGACAGCCAAGACTGTTACATAAAGAAACCCTGTCTCAGAAAACAGACAAAAGTAGTCCGCACAAGACTTAGTACAGTAGTGGGGTCCAGAGAAAGGCACATTGTTCTCTCCTGTTAGCATTGTGCTGTTATAACCACTAATTATAATGACTCCTTTTTATTACACGAGCTTCATTTCTTCAGCACAGGAAACTAAGTCTAACTTCCTGGTGTATTTCAGAATCAGTGTCTAAGTGTGAGACCAAGAAGTTACCACCAAGTCAATGTAACAAATCTGTGCAAAGTATTCATCAGAAACCAGTTTCTTCACAACAAAAGGTCACCACCGGGAAGACAAAACAAAACAAAAATTCAGTTGTAAGAAAGCCCAAGAAAGGACATTCAGGCAAGAAAACTTTAAAGTGTAATAATTGTGGAAAAACCTTTTTTCGAAGTCTGTCTTTTAAACTTCATCAAGCCTTTCACACTGGAGAGAGGTCTTACGGATGCAGTAACTGTAGACAAGTTTTCAGACAGATCTTATCCCTCATTCTTCATCAGAGAGTTCACAGTCGGGAGAAAAGCTACGAATGTGATAAATGTGGGGGAATTTTTCATAAAAAATTAACTCTTATGATACATAGGAGAATTCATAATCGAAAGGAAAATTTTAACCATGAGAAGGCTCCAGGTTCATGCCCATCTCTCAGTGTACCCCATAATAATCACATGGTTGAGAGTATTCACCAGTGCAGAAAGTGTGGGAAAGCCTTCAGCCGATTGTCATCCTTTATACTTCATAAGAAAATTCACAGTAGAAAGAAAATACTAAAGTGTAGTAAATATGGGAGAGGCTTCAAAAAGAAGACAGTCCTTGTAAATAAAAGAATTTGTACTGGAAAGAAAACTCATGGAAAAGGGAAGGCCTTACACCAGAGTCCCCAGCAGAGACGTTGGCATTTAGAGCATCCTTTTACATGTAGGAAATGTGGGAAGTCCTTCAGTAGGATCTCACCCTTAATGCTCCACCAGAGAGTTCACACTGCAGGGAACCCCTACAAATGTGCTAAGTGTCAGAAAGACTTCCGACGCCTTTCGACCCTTATTCTGCACCTGAGAACTCATATCGGGGAGAAGCGGTTTAAGTGCAATAAATGTGAGAAGGTCTGCCATCGCTATTCATCCCTTGTTCAACACCAGAAGATTCATAAAAGGAAAAAGAAACTCATCGAATGCAAGGAATGTGGAAAGATGTTTTGTGGCATTAAAAACCTTAAAGTCCATCTGAACATTCATTCAGAAGAGAAGCCTTTCAAGTGCAATAAATGTAGCAAAGTTTTTGGCCGCCAGTCATTTCTTACTGAACATCAAAGAATCCACACTGGAGAAAAGCCCTATCAGTGTGAAGAATGTGGGAAAGCGTTCAGCCACCGGATATCTCTGACCCGACATAAGAGAATCCACAGTGAAGACAGACCTTATGAATGTGATCAGTGTGGGAAAGCCTTCAGCCAGAGCGCTCATCTTGCCCAGCATGAGAGAATTCACACTGGAGAGAAACCCTACGCATGCAAGACATGCAAGAAGTCCTTTACTCAGCGCATATCCCTCATTCTGCACGAAAGAAGTCACACTGGGGAGAAGCCCTACGAATGTAACGAGTGTGGGAAGGCCTTCAGTAGCGGCTCGGACCTTATACGGCATCAGAGAAGTCATTCTCTGGAGAAACCGTATGAATGTAGCAAATGTGGTAAGGCGTATAGTCGGAGCTCATCTCTGATTCGACATCAGAGCACACATTCAGAGGAAAAGTCCTGACGTTGCTGCTAACTGCAAAAGCTGAAAAGGATGTCAAAGAAGTATTCAGAGGTTTGGAGAATGTGCGTGAGTGTTCTCAACTTACGATGTATGTCCAAAACTCACCATAAGTTAGAACATTTAAAACAGAACTGTATTTAGCATAGCTACCCTACTAAATGTGATTGTTTAGCAGCGCAGTATAACGCGGAGTCCAGTTGTCCTCAGCTGATCCTGCTGCCCAGCATCTCTAGAGCAATCATACTGCTTACTGCTCATCTTCAGCCTAGAGATAGACCACAATTTCTAGCCTGATGGATATTGCTTCTGTGCCATCACAATGCTGAAAAATCCTACATCAGAAATCATTAATTGGAGGGAGGGAACTATCTGCCTATAAAATGTTTTGTGTCTTTGGGGCCATTTTATGATATCCTCCCCTTGAAAGCCAAAGCACAAAAGTAGTTGGCGGATTTTGAACTGAAGATCTGAAATCAGCTGAGGTACGCTCAGCATATTGGCCCAGGGTTTTTCAGTTGCTGTTCTATTTCCAGTGTAGTTTTGAGGACAGTTCACTGGATTTATACAGTCAAATGGAACTGTGAGTCCATCTTTCTCTAGATGGTGCTTTGACCCCAAGTTGAGGTCCCAGGAGAATGGAGTGTTGAGTCTGTTCTCAGAACTGTATGTTAAGACTAACAGGCAAAACAGGAAACAGCTGGGCTGTGGTAGTACACACCTTTAATCCCAGCACTCAGGAGGCAGAGGCAGGCGGATCTCTGTGAGTTTGAGGCCAGCCTGGTCTACAGAGCGAGTTCCAGGACAGGCTCCAAAGCTACACAGAGAAACCTAGTCTCGAAAAACCAAAAACAAAACAGGAAACAGGGTTCCTCTTCTCCTGACAGAAATGTGTTGGGATGAGAACAGAGAAGTGTTAAAATAGTGTTGGCAGTGGTGTGCTGCAGTCAGTAGCACACTGACTCCGTGGATGCCAAGATACACGGGGAAAATTTAGTGTGATGAAGACAGGCTCGGGGTTGGGTGGGCAGGAGAGACTGGAGAATGGGGAACTTCAGAGCAGGGAGAAGTTATTTTTTACTTTTTTATTTGAACTTAAATTGTCTATATTTATATAAATAAACAGCATTTTCATGTAATATTGCTAGTTGTTGTACAAAAAGTAAATGTTTCTATGGCCTGAACATTTGTGTTACCCCAAAACTCATATGTTGAAGTTCTAACTCCTCAGTGTGATATTTGGAAATGAGACTAATGGAAGTCATGATGTGGATGGGCCTTTTTGATAAGTGTATTGATCAGAGACACCAGAGGGCTTGATCTCTTTCTATACCGTGTGAGAACACAAACGGTCACCTGCAAACTAAGAATAGGCCCTTACCACTGACCAGTGTGTGATACCCTGATGTTGGATTTCCAGCCTTTGGAGGAACTGTGAGAACCTCATTTCTCTGTAAGTCAACCAGTCTGTGATAGTGTGTTGTAGCACCTCGAGGTGATAAATTCATGGAAGTACTCCTGGGGTAGTGTATTGGCTGTTTCCCTTTGAACTAGCCAACATGTTCAGTATATTTTTCTGTCCCTCTTTCCAGCTTGTGTACGTTGTATAAGAAATAAAGTCCAAATTCTTCTGTGTGATTCAATTGTATACAGTCAGGCTCTTTTGTATGAGTTTTCCTTGTGCAAAAGCTATTTAGGAGAACACCTGTTTCTTGTTAAGAAAAGCTTATAGTGTTTGACCAAGAGGGTCTAGTTTTGAGCACAAGTGTGAACTGTCCACCGCAGGCTCATCGTCTCCAGCTGGCAGGTGACTGGGACATTCTGGTGAGGTGTTACTGGAGGAACTAGATCATGGGGGTGTGGCTGTGTCTTTGAGGGGTTGAGTCATGCCCCACCCTGTCTTTTAAAACCATTTTCTTAAGAATTTAAATTTAAAATTTTATTTATATGTATAAATTTATGGTCAGAGGCGGACCCACAGCTAAACATTAGACCAAGCTTAGGAAACCCTGCAGAAGAGGGGGAGAAAGGCTTGTAGAAGCTGTTAGGGTCTGAGAGAAGCCCCCAAGGAAAGACCAACAGCCACGTATGCAGTAACAAGAGCACTTTATTAAATTCAATGTTGGGGTGGCACCTGGTGACCCTCAAAGCAGGTCATGAGCTCCTTTTTAGCAGAGTTAGAGGAATCCCAGGGAGGAGGGATTAATCTGGGGCTGATTGGTGGAGGAAAAATTAGCATGGGTCCTTAGTGGTTAGGGACCTTCCAGCCGCAGGGTAGGGAACACTGTCTTAGTTATCAGGAGACTGGGGGCGCCTGCTGAGCCAGCAAAGGAGCTTTGGGGGGCCTGCTGAGCTAGCAAAGGGGCTTTGAGGAACTGCTGAGCCAGCAGAAGGGACTCTGGGGTGCCTGCTGAGCCAGCAGAAGGCTGTGGGGCGCCTGCTGATCGGTTTGCTCCTAAGCTGTGGTTTTACTGAGCACTGTTTAGCTCTGTTCCATTTTAGTGAACTGAAACTAAATCCTAGTCTCTATTAGGGCTATCAGGAGAGCCTGTCTTGGCTCTGGTCTGCTGCCCCCACCCCTAGCCCTCTCAGAAGCCAGAGGGGTTGAAGTCACAGAAACAACTGAGCAGGGGCTCAGAGACTGAAGCAGCAATCACAGAACCTGCATGATTCTGTGTTAGGTCCTCTACATGTTATGGTCATTTAGCTTGGGGGTTTTGTGCGACCCCTAACAGTGGGAGTGGGGGTGTCTCTGACTCTTTTGCCTGCTCTTGGGACCCTTTTCCTCCTACGGGGTTGCCTCATCCAACCTTGACATGAGGTTTGTGCCTAGTCTTATTGTAACTTGCTATGCTGGTTTTGGTTGTTATCCCTGGAAGGAGGAATGGAAGGTGAAGGGAGGGGAAGCTGCAGTCGGAATGGATTGTATGAGAGAAGAATAAAGAGTTTAAAATATTTTATATATATGAAAGTTTTGCCTGCACCATGCATGTGCCTGGTGCTTTTGGAGGCCAGAGGAAGGCATCCAATTCCCTGGAGCTGGAGGTCTGGTTGTGAGTCACCATGTGGATGCTGAGAATTGAACCTCCAGTGCTCTAAACTGCTGAGCCATTTCTCCATCCCCATCTCCCCTTTCACGTCAACAAATTTACAGTATTTTGTTACAGCAGCTCAAGGTGACTGTAGCATTGGGGAGCTTTCACAAGAGCCTTCTCTACCTCTCCCCTCTTCCCTCCCTCTTCTGTTTACCACATGAAGAGGCCAAGGAGAGGCACATTTTTCTCTGTCCCTGTCTACCCACCTTCACCCCTGCCCAAATCTTTGTCCTCTAATCTGCCTGGAAGGCTGGCTCCAGGTCAACGGTGTCCCATTTGGGATGTGGCTCAGTGGTAACAGAGTCCGTGTACTCCACTTTGCTGTGACAAATGCTGACCGAAACAACTCAGAAAGAAAGAGTTTATTTGGCTACACTTGCAGGGCATGGTGGGTCCATCACTGAGAAGTCAGGGTAGGAACTCAGATGGCAGCAACTGGAGAAATGCTGTTTCCTGGCTCCCAGGCTCATGCTTAGCTAGCTGCCTGTATACCTCAGGTCGTCTTGCCCAGGGAATGGTGGTGCCTACCCACAGACATCAATTTCCAATTAAGACAGTCCTCCACCGACATGCTCACAGTCTGATCTGGGCAATTCCTCAGATGAGACTCCAGATGACTCTAGACTACACGCCTGATCGACCTGAGTTCAATCCCTGGGGTCTACATGGAGAAAGGCGAAAAACAACTGCAGCAAGTTGTCCTCATACACATACAATAAAATGTAATTTTATAACGGATATATAAGATTGAACTGCCAAAAGACACCTTAAATGCAGAAATTAAATGTAAAATGGTGTGCGTGTATAGCTGTGTGTGTGCATGTGTGTGTGTGCAGAGAGGGTGAGGGTGGCAGGGGTAATAGGTGGTATAAGCACTTGAAAAGCTGAAACCAAAACAAGGAATAAATGATAAAAGTTATAGAGTAATTCCTAGTTTGTGCTAAGGCTATGGATTCAATTCTTAGCATAGAAAAGAAAAGCTGTAATAAAGGGGCAATTTCCAAGAACACAGACTCTTAAATGGACATAAATTCACTTACAGAGGCACAAATTAAATGACGTTAAGGAGCCAACAGAAGCAAAAGAAGAGATAGATCTGGAGCAGGTAAGCGTTTGGGATGGCTTAGCAACCAGGATCCCTGCTTGGCTTGAGCTACCCACATACCTTTTCCAAAAAAAAAAAAAAGTGTTTAGCAACTTCACCTTCAAGCTACATGCATGTTACACATGCAAAACACAAACATAAGGCCCTACATTCAGATCTCCAGCACCCATGTAAGTCAGGCTTTACAGCCTGTAACTCTAGTTGTGGGAGGTGGAAACAGGTGGATCTGGGGGGCTTGCTGGTCAGACAGAATAGTTGAAAAGGTGAGCTCCAAGTGTACTGAGAGATGCTCTCAAAAAGTAAAGCAGGGCCAGGCATGGTATATGCCTTTAATCCCAGAACTCAGGAGGCAGAAGTGGGGAGATACTTATGAGTTCAAAACTAGCCTGGATTACTAAATAGATAGTTCGTAGTTAACAAAACAAAACAATAGGGGCCTGGAAAGATGACTTGGTGATTAAGAGCACTTGGTGCTCTTCCAAAAGACCCAGTTTGAGTTCTCAGTACCCATACAGTGGCTCATAGCTGCAACTCCAGTTCCAGAGGCTCTGATGCCATCTTCTGGCCTCCCAAGGTACTAGGCATGCATACAGTGCACAGGCAAACACAGGCACAATACCCATACACATACAAATAAAAACTAGACAATGCTGGCAGAACATTTTCCACAAAATCCTCTCAACCTCAGCTGGATCCCCTGAATCTATGTTAAAGTCAGATATGGTATCATCCATTTCTGTAATCCCTACTCTTATAAGTAACCCCTCATCCATACTCCTGCTAGGAACCCCAGTAAAAACTCATTTGGGAGCTGGAGAGACTCCCAGCACCCTCGTGGTAATTCAAAACTAACTATAACTCAGGTTCCAGGGGATCTAACACCCTCTTCTGGCTTTCTTAGGCACTAGACATACATATAAAATGCAGATTAAAACAAACAAACAAACAAACAACAACAAAAACCAAAAAAAAAAAAAACCCTCCCAAAACCTTATTGGTTTAGATGCAATCACTGCTTTGGTCTGTAGTGGGTTCCCTTTCTGGGATGAGTAGGTGTGTGTGTGTGTGTGTATGTGTTGTATCTCCTCAGCATGGCTCTGTAGGGTTGCTCCAGGAAGTTGTCATTGCTGTTCCCATAATATTAGGTTGCTAGTTAGGCATTGGCAGGCTTTAAAGTTGCTGAGTGTTGACTCATCCCTCAGTAGCAGCAATTTGTAAAACCAGAAAACAAAAATGCAGGACCTTGATTGTCAGTCAAAAGAGTGCAATTAGCCAGGCGGTGGTGGCACACGCCTTTAATTTCAGTCCTCAGGGAGATGGAGGCAGGTGGATCTCTGTGAGTTTGAAGCCAGCCTGGTTTACAGAGTGAGTTCCAGGACAGGCTCCAAAGCCACAAAGAGAAAGCCTGTCTTGATAAAACAAAAAGGAAAACAAAACAGAAAACCCCACAACAACAAACACCAGTGCAATTGGAGTCAAGTCTCTGGTTTTCAGTAAAGACACGACATTTTGAGCTGCTCCTAGGGCTTTCTGGTAAAGAACAGAGATATACCATTGTTCCCTCCCTTCAGAGTTAATCCACATGGCTGCTTGTCAGTCACCCGCGCAGAAAAACGGTATGAGAAAAGCTTTCTGTTCAAGAGCCAACAGAAATTTCAAGGCTGCCTAGCTTTCTGTGGCTACTGTCCACTTTTGCCCACAATGGTCCCTCCCCACTTGGGAGTAGTGTACTTTGCCTTTTTTGTTGTTTTTGGTTGTTGTTTCGAGACAGGGTTTCTCTGTGTGACAGTACAGGCTGTCCTGGAACTTGCTTTGTAGACCAGGCTAGCCTTGAACTCACAGAAATTTACTTGCGGCAGTGCTGGGATTAAAGGTGTGTGCCATCATACCTGGCCTGGCCTTTTAATAGAGACCTATTATCTACTCAAGGCTGTGTGGGTCTTGCCTGAATTCTTCCTATAGAGATCACATAGACTAGGATGCTGAGGGGAAGCCAGAGCCAGAGCTTTGGCAACACTTAAGATTATTCTTAGTCAGGGTACAATTTCAGCATCATACGGGGTTTTTAACCTCTGTCAGAAAAAAATGTGTGCGCATGCATGCATGCATGTATGTGAGAAGTATGTGTGCAGCATGTGTCTGGAAGTTGATGTCAAGTGATCTCAATTGCTCTCCATTTTTAAAAAGGATGACTGTATGTGTGTATACGCGATGTGAGGGAAACTCTGCCGTGTTGCAGACATGGAGGTTAGAGGACAACTCTGGGGAGTAGATTCTCTTCTGCCCCTTTCCTATAGGTTCTGGGGCTTGAATTCAGGTCATCAGGCAAGTGCAGCCAGAGGTGATATGTACTCAGCCAAATTGACGGCCAGTCCCCTTAGGTTTTGAGGAAGTCTGTTACTGAGGCTCATCGGTTTCGATAGGCTGAGGAGTCACCAGGATCTGCCTGTCTGCTCTTGCGGTGCTGCGGACAGACTGGCACACTGCTGTGCCAAACTTTTGGGTGGTTGCTAGGAATCTGAACTCAGGTCCCCATGCTTGCATGGAAGACAGTTTCCTGGCTGAGCCATTTCCTGAGCCCTCCACAAACACTGACGGCCACTGCTGCTCCTAGAATGCAAGGTGACTGCAGGTTTAGGGTAAAAACCAGGGACCTCTGGGCACCTTTGTTAGCGGTCCTGGGACTAAGATGGAGTCACTGCCTTTTAGCGAAGGAGCTTGTAGGCGCCTGTTATAATCCCAGACACTGGCAACATGTATTCTTTCCATTTTCCTTCTGCACATGAATAGTTCATTAATTTCATGGACATTCTCAAATAATGTTTTTGTTTTGATTTTCTATTTGATTTCCATCCGGAACTGGGGAGGTGGCAGGTGATGACGGCTGAACCTTGGTAGGGCCTCCCTCATGCACGCTGAGCTGGTACTGTCATCGAGATACACTCCAAGCCTTCTGTTCTTTCTGTAGTTCCCATTCGTATTATAAGAGGTTTTTCTATGCTGTGCGTATGTCATGTTTTGCCTGCATATCTATCTGTATGTGCATCACTTGCACGCACTGTCCACGGGGGCCAGAAGAGGACATCAGAAGCCCTGGACCTGGAGTTACAGGTGGTAGTGAGCCACCATATGGGTGCTGGGAACTGAGCCCAGGTCCACTGCAAGAGTAGCAAGTGCTCTTAACTGCTGCGCCATCTCTGCAAACCCCTAGTGTCTGTTCTTAGGATGTCTTCTTTGAACTGAGTTCTTGAAAAGGGTGCTAGTTTGGTTCAAGTTTAGGGCACAGTTTGGGTTATCTTTCTGTCGTTTCTAAGGTCATTCCATTGTTGCCAGAAAACATTTCTTTCACAAGACTTGAGTTCCTCTGAGTTAGCTGAGATGCAGTGCTGTGGAGACACCACGGTGATGAGGAGCACAGCATCCACACTGGATGCTCATCAACAGCTGGAACTCCAGCTCCAGGGACTCCACTGCTGCCTTCTGGCCTCCTCAGGCACTTGCACGTATACACACATGCACAC